CACACACACACACACACACACACAAAAGAGCATGCACACAATCCAGCCTTCCCATGTCAGTCTAATCCCCACAAGCAGAGATCAGATACAATACGCAGCAGACACCTTGGCCCGCACAGCATGCTGGTGAGTAACTGTCCATCCCCTTGCAATCACCAAGTGATTAAAGCAGAATAAAGGCTATTGAAAACAGCAAGAAGCGAGCTCTACTTTCCCATCCATCACGACTTCCTTCAGGCCCAATAACCACTACAATAACGACTACAATAAGTTAACCGGCGCAACCAGCACTGATTGACCTTTTTCTGTGACCAGTGTTGTGCTTCAGTGAATTACAAATGGGCCATGCGGTACATTAACCCACATATGCATACCAAGGCATGGTCGTTATGCAGACTCGTAACGCAGAGTTGGAACTGGCCATTGATATCTAAACAGTGTACAGACACCTCTGCTTCTTAAAATATAGACGCACTTGTAATGACCTGCGAAACACAGACTGAGACACAGCTGATTTCTGGGTTTTGCTCATGGAATGTATGCCTTTCTGAGTTTCCCGCTTGCTGCTGAGTTTTCTAAGTCTGTGCGTGTGCATGCTTGCTGGTCTGCATGTGTGTGAGAGTGTCACACCCTTCTAACCATTGTAAAAAAAACAACAGCAGTCCTGTGGAATCATATTGAGCAAAGGCTCCGTAGTGTGGGTTATCCTTTTCCTTTTGGTACTATATTAACTATACCAATACAGTGGACCTAGCCTTCATGGCCCAGGTTTTTCGTCAGTTGTGCTGTAACATCACAGTAAACCGAGGGAGGCGATGACAGGGGTCATCATCCCCCTTCGATGTCCTTTACACATAAGCGAAGAGAGGTCTGGCATCAACACTTACCATTTTGCATCCATCTGGTGGATCAGATCGATACAACATCAGATCGAACCAGATCGATACAACATCAGATCGGGCCAGATCGATACAATAAGGTTAGGACCGACTCCTTAAACCACCACTACCTTTCAGAGGCCGAAACAAAACGGTCATTTCAGAGGCCGAAACAAAACGGCGGCCGCCATCGGGCCCAGCCCCCGAAGAATGTGGAGTAGGCTATTTTCCCACTTTTCCCAACAGCAGGAAAGGTAGTGGTGGTTTAAAGGGCCGGGGGGGAAACAAGTGACAACAGCCAGGTTGGCCGACCACTCAGGGTCCTAGAAGCCCTGCACAGACAGGGGCTGAACAATGGACCTCGAGTGCTGCAGTTGCGAGATGGACAGGCAGTTAGTTGATCAAGTGCCCGAATACAACGTACGGTCATTTTCACTGCATCTGGACTGAAATGTGAGCCAAATATGGGCATAATGACCGAATGTTCAGGGGGGCGACGGTAGAACTTTCTGCAAAGTATCTGGCCACAATTGGCATATGATATGTCCTCCCTGGGTACCACCGGTGACCATGGCGAAATAGAACAACTGCACTATCACAGCATCATATTCACATCGACACTCCCAACAAAGATTCCTCTCACCCATCGCACTCCATCCCAACCTAGTTTTGGTAGGTTCAACTTCATCGTCCATGTGTAACTTTCGGCGCATTAAATAGTGACATGAATTTGGGCTTGGGTTAACTTCGGGCTTGCTGGCTTTGTAATCGAACTATGCCTAGAGACTCCTCTCACCCATCGCACATCATCCCAACCTAGTTCTGGTAGGTCTGACTTCATAAGTCCATGTGTTAACTTTCGAAGCATTAAATTGTGACGTGAATCTGGGCTTGGGTTAACTTTGGCTCACTAGCTTTGTGCTGGAACCATGCCTCAAGGTTATCTTGTACCGTTCTATGTTTACCTGTGCTAGTACCCTGCAAAACCCAAAACTCTCTCTCTCTCTCTCTCTCTCTCTCTCTCTCTCTCTCTCTCTCTCTCTCTCTCTCTCTCTCTCTCTCTCT